CCATGCTCTGCTCACCTCAGCATGCGGAGCTCACTCGCCAGCGTTTGTCGGGTCCGCCGCCGTGGGCTCTGATGCCAGGTGTGTGAGCTTGTGGGGTTTGCTTTTTAAGTTTTCTGCTTCTTCAGCAGTGACTGAAAACTGTCAGTTCTGTTACTGTTGGGCTCACTCAGCGCTCCTGTGGGTGAAGCCTGTGTTCCGACAAGCAGTTTGGGAAGTGTGGCGTGGGTGTGGAGGGGACCAGGGGGAGAACTGGGCGGGGGGCTCTGGATCCCTCAGTGAGACCTAACGAGTAAGTACATGTGCTCGCCTCATAGTCCTGAATTACCGTGTCTTACAGATTCTTGTTAACTTACCGTGTTGTCATGTTTGGCTTGTAACTGCTTACAAGCACCTGAAGTTCTCTCTCCTGTGACCCGTATAGCCTACACTGACCTGATCATCAGACATTTGCAAGTAGCTGGATATTCTATCCTACAGGCCGGTCTTTGAGGAACATTTGCCCTTCTTAGAGAGATGAGGGCCACAGAAATCACGACATAGCAAAAACTCAAGAAACATACTGCTCTTTGCTCGAGTTCCGGAGAAACCGCCTGTGCAAACCTGACTTTTGGCCCCTGCACTGAACGCCTGACTTGAATGTGTGCGTTAGGGAATGCTGGTGTGCTGTGGTTCTTGGTTTCTGTTGCTTTCCACATCTCCTTCCCTGTAATCGCAGCACTGTCTCTTATTTACTTAGGGAGATCCGTCAGATAATCTCTCATGACTCTCAAGTGGAAATAATTCTGCAGTGATAAAACCTAAGGGACTAAAGGAGGAGGTTCTGATTAGATCGATAGATCATGTAGGAGAAATTAGTTTAAAATTAGAAGTTAAAATATGAAAGGTTTGTCCTGAAAAGTAGAAATCTATAGCTAGGATGTAAATGTTATTAGTCTGCTCTTTTGACACCAAAAACAATTTTAAGTGACGCTATTTTAGGCAATTATAGATACTTGGAAATCAATCATATTTAAAAACACTAGTTTTTATGATTTCAAGGTGTTCCTTCAGATTGTCAGGCATTTGCAGGTGGAGAGCCTCAGAGAGTATGTTCTAGCATGGATCTCGCCCTTGACAGCAAGACCAGAGGTTGGCCTCTTGTTGGGTACCTCTGTCAGAGTCGTCCCCCCCGCCCCAGTCCAGTCCCTCTGGCTGCTGTGAGCCGCACGGCAGGGAGTCAGACCCTGGGCCTGCAGTGCCTGGGCTCACTGGGGGACCAGCCCCTGAGGTTGTTGCTCACACCAACACTCCCCCCCCGCCCTGCCCTGTCCTCCCTAACCTTCCACCACCTCTGCCTCTGAGAGCAGGCCCTGCTCACGGGCTCACCCCCAGCTGTCCTGGCTGCCCTGCCTTCTGTGGCCTGCTCCGTCCCGTGCGCCGTCCCCGGCCCAGGCCCTTGCCCCCTTCACGCACAGACCGTGTTCCAGAGCCGTCCAGTGTAAAATTTTGATTCTGTCCTGACACTTCAGATCTTCCTTCTTGTTTTGTCTCGTTTTTTTTTTTTTTTCTCCTACTACTTATCACATGATTTAAGATGCTGTATGTTTTACTTTTTGTTCTTACCTGTTTCCCTCACTAGTTTTCACGTTTTCTGAGGCAGGCACTCTGGTTTTGTCACTGTGCTCTGCAGTGTGTCCAGGTGCTGGTCTTGGTGCATGCCGGTGTGACCAGCGGTGTCCTTGCAGGGCTGGGGCAGGCTTGGTGCTGCTTCATCCTGCTGAGACGCTGCACGTTACAGAGTGAACGCTCCATGAAGGCACAGCTGTGTCTGATTTTACTCGTTAGTGACACACATAGTGAGTGGCCAGTAAATGTGCAGAAACACAATGAGTGTACACAGGCATAAATATTCATCAGGAGCAAGGCGTTTCGATTGTATAGCTTGTCAAATTTGGGACTATTTTTGTCTTATTTCTGGTGATTTATAGATTATAAGATTTCCAAAGCAATTATTATGTTAAAAATATTAAAGCAATACTAAGATGATGGCAGTGAGAGGTAGACTACATTCAGTAATCACTAATTGCTGGCAATATTATGTTCAGATAGGCTGGTAAGATGATTTTAGTCATGCTTTTAATTGAGCAAGACATTGAGACTTTGATGCTACTTGTACTCATGTAGACCAAATTTAAAGCCTTTATACTTACTTTAAGTCAGATTTTAGATGAATGAACATTTTGCATTTAAGTATAATTGAGGTGTATTTTAGTATTATAAATTTTCCCCATAATAATAAAAAATTGTTATTCCTCCCAATAGTCTATAGACAGACAGTCAGCAGGTAATTTAAGGATTATATTAGGTAGAAGCTTTCCCTCTCTGTGTACTTTAGTTTGTTCCCCTGTGCAGTGTATTATTTTTTGTTTCAATTCTTAAAGCTTACACATTTTAATTAATAGAAGTTTTTTCTTGTAGGAACTGCACTGTGGTTCTAAGCCCACATCTCTTAAATTATACTTGGTCGTGTAAATAAGCTGTGCTTTGCAACTTTGGGTTCTTAACCTTTGCACTTTGCTATTAGCTTTATGTTTTTTTAATTATAAGAAAATAGTGGACAGTAGGGAAGTTATGACTTAAATGGACTGTTATTACTGCATTCTTCTTTTAAGGAGATGAAAAATGTTATTTTGTCCAAATCAAGCAGAAACAAATATAGAATATCTTGTACTGTTTTTTTGCTAAGCCTTTAATATCATCACAGTTTGATTCTTTACACGTAATCATTATTTTTCCATTTTAATGATTGATAGTGTGCTCAGTTATTTATACTGTCAAGCGTGTATTGTCCGTAGTTATTACCTAATATATAAAAAAGAATGAATGATGCCATGTTCAGCGTATACAAATACATTATTTGAATAATGAAGTCACAGTCATTTAAAAAATACAAATATATTACTTTAGCCTCGAAACTGAGGTTCCCTAATATTATAGGAAAAGAACCCAAATAGACCAGACATGAAAAAAACAAAAGAAAAAAGAGGCATTCACCTTTTTAGAAATTGTTTCAGTCATAGTGTTTGGCATGTCTCTTCCATAAGGCCATAATACTTTACAGCCTTACGTTGCCCGTTTGTGCAAACATGTCCAGATGAATTCAGTGTTTAATGTTAAGAATCTTATAACATGCCAATTTGATTTGTAGCCCTTCATATCATAGAATGCTAATTAAAATCATATTTTTGCATATGTCATGCCTTTCATGTACATATGCAAATAGATTCTGTTGCCTTTCAGCTATTGGTAATTAACTTTATGAAGGACAGCTGTAATACATAATTAACAAAAATGTTTGCAAGCCCTTTTACACTGAAAGTTATAACATTAAATTTTTTTTCTCTTATCAAGAGAACCACTTTAGTCTGATGCTTCTGAATGAGACCTAAATTGTTTAAATAATCATACTATGTAATTAAATTGATGTTGTACTGTGGTCAGAAGGAGACTGGTGTTCCATGGACTGGCTGCTGATTCCTGTCCATTTCATATTTATGTCCTCAAAATTGAATTAAGTAAGCTGATTTGTGTATAAAATAAGATGGCGTGTCAGGTAATACTTTTTGTTTGTTTTAGTTATTGATATCTTCTTGGCACTTAAGTACATTTTTTTTTTGCATGTGCCACAGACCCAGTAAGCACATATCATTTTTAAAAACCCCTTTTCAAAGTATTACCATGTTTTCAAGGAAGCTTCGTGGAGGCTATTTATTTTCTCTTTTATAGTTCCTTAAATATTTCATAAAATGACATTTTCTCAAACTCCTGCCCTGATTGAAGTATGGGATCAACTAGGGGGCAGTGAAGACTATGTCGAGGCATCGCTTTGTCTCTCTTAAGACAGGGAAGGCAGTGACTGAGGTACAGCCACCATTTCTGCTCCTCTTTGCACACTCGAGTAAGAAAATGAACCAGTTAGTTTAAATGCAGTTATTTCTTCCGGTTTTCAGGTATCACAGTACGTTTGATCTGCAGGCAAGCTTCTTGTTTACCAGGAATGCCGCTCTAATGTGCATTTTCATGTTACATCTGTATATAATTGCCTGTTTTTAAGTACTTTGTGGACATATTTTTAGCAGAGAGTCATGTTTTAGTTCTTTAATTACTGTTATTTCTTTCTTTAGGGTTGCTTTTGTAATGAAGAAGCACTTAAATACGCATCTACTAGGCAAACATGGAGTTGGCACCCCAAAAGAAAGGTAATTTTTGCTCATTTTAAAAAATTTAACAAATACGTTTATATTTGCATTTTAGGCTTTGCTTAATGATGCGACTTCTAGAATTTTTATCAAGTCAGTTCATCATGTTTTGCATTTGTGGTACTCTGTTGTTGAATGTGATATTTCATACCATTCTCCCACAAAAATTTAATGTCATTTTAATTTTAGAAATTTGGATCTAAAAGTATTTGAAAAGATTTGAGGGACTTTGAATTTGTGAAATTGTGGAATAACCCTGAAACAGTAGAAAAGTTTATTTAGGAGGGGATTGACCTCTGCACGTGTGTTTGAATGAACTAAAATAATTATATAAAAGTAAACTTTATCTATTTTTTCCTGCATTTTTATTTTGAGGTTTTAAAATAGTATTTTCGAATTCTTACTGTAGAATTAAACATTGCTGATACTAAAAAAGAAATACATCTTGTGTCATCCCCAAAATAATACTCTAGTTGCCATGTCATGGAAAATAACACTACAATTATTATGTCATCAACTGCCAGGCTTTCTTTTTTCCTGCTACTGTATCATAATTAGCTTCATCACATAGACTTAATTATATTAGGTGAGCAGAAATATAGCAATGTCAGCTGTCAAGTGAGTATGGCTACTTCTAAAATTTTTGAATCTCTAAGATGTATAGCTCACTCAGAGCTAGTGAAAATTCCTCTATCCTTCCTTCAAAGATATAGTATATTTCCTCCCAATCCTCTATGATGGTATCTGAAACTCTCTAGACACTCCCAGCAACTTTTGGTTTTTAATACTTTTTTAAGATGTCAGTAATGATGCAGTTTGTTCTACGATTCTGCAGCCTAGGACCTCCTAGGACCTCTTCCTTATTTGTAAATGTTTAATTGCCTTTTCAAAAAATTTAAAATGCTCTTACCAATATTTTCTGTGTTTACAAGCAATTTGACTTGACTTGTATTGAAGGCATATTGTTTTCTTTAGTGTTTTAGTTTGGGCATGACTACTGTGTCAAAATATTGAGTGTTACGTATGCCTCCTCTTTATCTTTTGATTTCTGGTACTTCTCTTTGTGGCATTATATTTAATTTGAGCCAAACTCTATGTGTTGAGCATATCCTGAATGCATAATTCTTGAAATTCAACAAATTCTATATTACTTACATTATGGTTTGGGACTTGTCGCAGTTATGTTTCATGGGTGTATAAGGAAGTGGAAACAAAACATTTGTATGTACTCTGTTTTTGTTGCTTTTACATGCATTATCTCAATTAATCACTCTGTGATGTTATTAGCAGTGCATTATTATTCCAGGTTTTTAGATCTGAGGGTTGAGATTCAGGAATATGCAATAATTTATTCAGTGTCTTATAATTAATGAATGTTAGAATTGTTATTTTTCAGACTCTAATCCCATTGTCCTTCCTTCTACTGATTATCTCACACTGAGAATCTTTACATACAGTTACTTAGGGATTTTGTTCCCCAAATGAATTTTGAATGAAAACAGTCTAGATCAGATGATTAGTAAAAAGAAAATATCTCCCTACTGTAACTCAGATGTGTCATTTTACTTTTTATTTAGAAATTCATAAAGGTTAAATAAGTGTTCATATCACTTTATACTAACGAAAACTTCATCACCATATACATATTTTTATCCTCCAAGCACTTAAATACAGTGGGCACCTCCTGTATATTATGATAGGAGATTGAAGATCCCAGATGTACTGTTTGGTTTCCATTACCTTTTCTGTATACTCCAGGAACACTTGCTTGTTTCCGTTCATTTCAGCCCCCAACACCTTCAGGGAGGCTACACAGAGGCAAGAGAAAGATTGCATGTCTTTCTTCCCTTTGAGGCGTGGTAAGCTTTTTCTCCGGCATTGACATGGTTTTGGTTCTAAAATTGGGAAAGGAACCTCAAGTGGGAAGGCACACCCTGTCTCCTGGGTCCTGACTCCCTCGTAGTCCAGGCTGTTAAGTTCCTCTCAGCTGGACATCTTCCATTGAATTGTTGCTTCTATTAAGACCTCTGGGTTTCAGAACACTTCTCGTTTAGGACACTTGTCTCACTGCACAGAAATACTCAGAAGGTCTGGACCCCGTGGCAGCATCGTTTCCCAGTAGACCCATGGAGCTGGGGAGAGTCGCATTCAAGTAGCAAAGTCTAGCATAGTTAGTGCCAAAGGGCTCCCATTCCACCTTCCTCCCTGCCTTGGAAAGGGAATTGATGCCTTTTAATGATTTTAGGAAACAAAAAAACTCTTTATCAGCATGTTGAACCGTCACTTTGGGCATAACTGTTCTCTAAATTAAGTTAAACATTTTTTTCTTACCTATTTAAAACATTAATGCCTTGGCTATAATTTTGCAAGCTTGCTATATTTTAATTTTTCCAGGGCAAAATAATCAGCTTACTTTTTTATGTTTTAAATTTGATTCTCCCCTCTTATGCATTGCATATTATAGCAAATAGTAATAGAAGTTAGCCAAATAGGCTGTGACAATTTAATTAATAATGCATTTTTTTTGCAAGTATTTAGGCCTTGTGCTTTGAGTGATAAATGCAAAAATGATAATTTATTACAAGTAAATTCATGTACTTGCACTATAGTTTGATGAATCAGTAAATTTTGTCAGCATGACTGTCATTAGCAACAGAAAGCTAGATAATTTCAAATATGTATGTTTTGACTTCATGAACACCTGAAGTGATGGCTTGTGTAAGAACAAGTTTTTCTTTTTGTCCCTAAATTTGCATGAACTTATTTTAAGGTAGTACACACACCACTGTATTTCTGAAGTCTTGTACACTTAAATATAAAGAACTAAATATAGGCACATTTGATTTACATTCCAAAATAATAAACTCCAATTAATTTGCAAGTTCATTCTAAAGTATTTCCTATTTTAGGTAAGTAATTCTGTTTGTAATATAGTAAGCCAAAGTATCTTTATGACTCTTTGGGTTCGCTAATAGTAATCTAGAAAATGAGCCTATGCACAATTACTACAACTGAAACAGCCATAATAAGTTTATCTCATGTGGAAGCCAGGCACATGTTATAATCGAAAGGGATGGCATGCCTGGTTTAGTGCTTCAAAGTCAGCTGGGCTTTGAGCGACTGTAAATAGGAGGAGGGGAAGGGGCTCCCTGGGCATCTGAGTTTGTGGTGTCCAGGCGCCAGTGGAAGTTAGCTGCCCTGACAGTCTCTCAGGAAGGCTCTTATGCCCCCAACCACATATACCAGTGGAGATTTTAAATTGGATCCATACATCAGAGAGTCTAAGAGCTAAATAATTTCATGATCCACCGAAATGTACCTGTTTTTTCAAGTTATTAATGAATGAAAGTATTTCTTCAGTGAAGCAATTTTGGAGGCATCTACTCAGGTTATAAGGCTCAGACAGGGCATTATTGTCCACATGGGGTGTTTAGGCCCTGTGGGAGGGCTGATCAGTGCTTTTGTTCAGGTTGAGAGGGTTTTCCCCAGGCCTCCTTCAGATTTTAATTGATGCTGGCTGTATCCCCTTTTATTAGATGCTTGGGACTTAAGGTTAGCCATCTCCCTTTTCATGGCACTTTTGGTCTTACTGATAAGTCAAGTCTTTCCCCCCACGTGTTTCTATGTCCAGGTGTCACCAGGACTAACTGTGAGTAGAAGTCCTGGCAGCTCTCATACCTGCTTCTCCTTTGCTCTGAGCCTCTGGGACCACACAGGACATCCTGTAGGACTTTGGGGTCATCCTTGTCTCCTTTCCTTTCTCTCTTTTCTCAGAAGTGTTTATATGTTAGATATGAAAGCATCACTGTTCTTTTCAGTTTAGATGGAAACATCACCCTTTTCCTTGAAATATGAAAGTATCCCAAACCCAGACATTCCTAGAGAAAGCGTATAGATGTGCGTGTGCAGTAGTTTGGGTTATTAGAAACTTAGGTTACTTTTATTTATTTATTGAGGATTTTATTTGTCTGAGAGAGAGTGAGCCAGAGAGAGCATGAGCAGGGGGGAGGAGCAGAGGGAGAGGGGAAAGACTCCCTGCTGAGCTGAGCAGGAAGCCAGATGCCAGGCTTGATCCCAGGACCCTGGGATCTTGACCTGAGCTGAAGGCAGCAGCTTAATCTACTGAGCCATCCAGGTGCCCCCAAAACTTAGGGTACTTTTAAATGAGAGAATAATACGTTTTATAAAAACTCTGAATGACATTTATTTAAACAGTTTCAAATTTTTCCCTACCAGAGGAGTATGAGATTAACTCCTGTTATTGTCACTTGATTGTCCATTTGAAAGAAATAAGTTCCTTTGGCTAAGTTGTCAGTGGGTTAAGACTCCGACTCTCGTTCTCAGCTCAGGTCTTTATCTCAGGGTCCTGAGTTCAAGCCCCAGGTTGGGCTCCACTCTGGGCACTGGAATGGAGCCTACTTAAAAAACAAAACAAAACAAAAAGGATCATCATCTTCCTCAGTGTTTATTCCTTGTGAATTTCTGTAGGGTAAACAGTTTTCTGTTCTACCACTGAAATGGGTAGTGTATTCTCATGGATGCATTGAGATCTTTTACTCTGTGTTTATGAGCATCATGTGATCTCTGTGGAGTGTTTTTGTAAAACCTCTCAGGTCATTTCTGTCTGCTGGCCTCAGGCTCGCTCTCACCGTTATTCACCCACTGTGTATTGGTCTCCCTCTCATTTCTTGTCTTACTCTAGTGGCTGGCAGATTTTTTTCTTTCTTTCTTTATTTAGGAAAAATAAAGTGTTTAGGGGCTCTTCTCTGCTTTAAAAAATATATATTTATACCAGATATAACTCTCTTGAGCCCATGGCTTCTTTCCATCTCGGCTCGCTTACTTTAATGAGTGGGAGGTTGTCATATTTTGATGTTCTAGTATTGCGTGAGCTCAGAACTCTCCTTCTTCTGTCTTTTCCCATTTCTCCGTCTGCAGACAGTATCCAGTGTAGAATTAGTATCCTGTGATCATTTACCATGGTTTTATTGTGCACAAGT